CTGTGAACGAGCTGTTTTCCTGACAGCCAATGGGAACGAGGATCGAGAACTGTCCAATAGTAGAGCTCAGAGCGGTATAACGACGTGAACAGGAACTTTCAGCCAATGGCGATGCGGCGCTATCGAGCCGCTGCTGTGCCGGCGCTGCTATAAATAAGGCTGCAATAGCCAGGCGCTTTCACTAGCTGTTCTTTAGAAGGTGGTGGTGTATAGGAGGTAGGTGTGCTGTTGCGATGCCTGAGCCAGCCAAGTCCGCTCCCGCGCCCAAGAAGGGCTCCAAGAAGGCCGTGACCAAGACACAGAAGAAAGGCGACAAGAAGCGTAAGAAGAGCCGCAAGGAGAGCTACTCCATCTACGTGTACAAGGTGCTGAAGCAGGTGCACCCCGACACTGGCATCTCGTCCAAGGCCATGGGCATCATGAACTCCTTTGTCAACGACATCTTCGAGCGTATCGCTGGGGAGGCCTCGCGCCTGGCGCACTACAACAAGCGCTCCACCATCACTTCTCGGGAGATCCAGACGGCTGTGCGGCTCCTGCTGCCGGGTGAGCTGGCCAAGCACGCGGTCTCCGAGGGCACCAAGGCTGTCACCAAGTACACCAGCTCCAAGTAGGGTGTCCTTGTGTTCTTTGCCTGGACTAGTCAACCCAAAGGCTCTTTTAAGAGCCACCCACATTCTCAGTAGAAGAGCTGGGGTTTTTTTACTTACTACCTTTATCTTTTTGTGGAAGTTGGTAATAGTAGCATGAAAGAACTTCTGGTTTTAGAGAACCTAGTTACATGTAACCGGTTTCCGGTAAACAATCCATTCTATATTTGACTTGGTGGGGTAAGTACCTCACGATTCCTGCAACAGCCCCTGAACCCGCTTCACTTGGCGGGGGGGAAGGGAGAGAGAGAGAAATTGTAAACGATCTGTGGAGATGTTCCCATTAAATGCCCTATATAAGTGCGTTCTGGGTAGCTGGTGTTTGTTCCTTCCCCGTGAGGTACTCTTAACGGGAGATGGGTAAGCCTGGAACACTGAAAGTACATACGTCTCTGTGACCGTGTGATCTTTCTTAGTAAAAGCTTCTATCTGCACTCGTTTCCTTTTAGCGTTCTCGTGGGGACAGGAGAAAGCAGAGGCGCATTCGAGGCGTTCGTTTCCTTGATCCGCGCAGCCCCGCCTGCGATACTGATTTCTGCTCGATCTCCTACATTGCCCCGGTCTTCCCCGCCCGGTGAAAGTACATACGTCTCTGTGACCGTGTGATCTTTCTTAGTAAAAGCTTCTATCTGCACTCGTTTCCTTTTAGCGTTCTCGTGGGGACAGGAGAAAGCAGAGGCGCATTCGAGGCGTTCGTTTCCTTGATCCGCGCAGCCCCGCCTGCGATACTGATTTCTGCTCGATCTCCTACATTGCCCCGGTCTTCCCCGCCCGGTCACTCCCCA